GGGGGGGGAGGAGGGAGGGAGAGGGAGAATGAGCATTGTTTGCATGCTGATTGGCAGAGCAAGGGTTCCCACCAGGAGAACTTCCTTCCATGAAGCTGCTTGACGACTTGCGAGAGCGGAGGAGGAAAACTTTAGCGATGCCAGGCATCATGCGATAAATGACAAAAATTTCAATGCACATAGACATAAAGGGGAGAGCTCAATCCTCCCTCCTACATGTACTCGCTGACAAGCTTCTCCATCTCCGCATTCCCCACCTCCCGAGCCAGCTCGAGCATGGAGCGACCCGCCTCATCCACAGCCTTCATGTTGCTCCCTGCCTTCAAGAGAACCTGTCCTGCCGTCAACCTCCCTCCCCTCGACAGAAACATGCTCACCTCCAATGCATAAGGCCGATTCTGCTTGATCGCGATGGCCAGGGGGAGGAAGGAGGGCGAATCACTAAAGCCCAGCATAGTCTGATAGTCCTAGCAGCGCGTCATCCCGCTGCAGGCACAGAATCGCTCCACCTGAGGGGAGTCGACCGAGTCTCTCAGCAGCTCTTCGAGGGCCTGCCCGTCGTCCTCGGAGATGAGAGCGATGACCCTGCATGGCAGGAGTTCACTTGCTGCAGAATTTTCACAGGATGCATCACTTGTTCTTGAGCTGAAGAGACGAGCCTTTCTGACTCTTCTTTCCCCAGCTGATTCGGATGCGGAGCGTCAGGGAGCGTCATGAAAAGGGAGAACACGGGCTCTACTTTGATTTCAGTTTGTTCTGAAGGAAGACGCTTTCCTGCACACGAGGTTATGACGAAAAACACGAAAGAGAGAGCAAGGCAAACCTCATCGGCCATCGTTTGATAGTAATCGGCGCTGCCTCTCATATTCATCCTCCTGACACATCAAATAGTGAAAAAGGAACAGGCAGAACTGCTCTGAAGCTCTCTCACATTTCAAGAAGTTCGCCTGGGTCGACAACTTTGGGCGTCCCTGCTCTTGGCGACAAATTGATTGGCTTCCTCAAGATCCATCCAATCACGTAAGCCACCCCGTAGAAGGTCCCAGTGAGCAGATCGAAGAGGAGCCTTCGGACATCCTTGGATCGCGCATCCTCTGCTGCCTTGCGCCATACCTCCAGCTTCGACGTGATCTTGGTGGTTGGCCTGCGATCCATGGCTTCTCTTTCAAGCTCGTCAATGTCTGTTGGGGAGTCGTAGGTCTGCGCAAACTGCTCGAACTGCTCCTGCGTCTCACTCTTCTTGTCCTGCAGCTTTGAGCCGGCCGTGCTCAGCTCCTCCAGCCTCTTCTTCCGCAAATCAGACGAGATCTCATACCTCCGCTCGGTATCCTTCAGCTTCACCATCCTGTTCACAGCCATCCCCCGAGGGGAAGTGTTGGAGAGGAACTCGTTCTCGCCGTTCTCAAACATCTTTGCTGCCCTCGTCACAGCGCTGTCGGGATCACGGAGGCGAGCAAGCTCGGCCTCCTCCTTCCACTTCGCCAGCTTCTCTTGCATCGCTCTTCGCCTCTCGTCTCCACCCTGCCATTGCGCGGCGCTGTCAACCTCATCCTGCCCATCGTTAGACTGCAGCGATCTGCATCCGACTCGTCGTGAGTTGACAGCCGACTTTGAGGATCGGTCGTGTCCGGGGAGTAAATGCTTGACGGGAATGAACGACATGCAACCTGATCACGAAATAAGGATCACCATCTAACTGCTGCAAACATCCTTCACCCTGCGTCCTCTGAGACTCGAGAGATCGGGAGGTTGGAAGAAAGACCACCTGCCAAACAGTTCAGCACGCTTCCTTTCAGCCATCAGACGTATCACCGTCATCAAAAACAAGAGAGGAAAGAAGATGGGCATCTCCCTGCTCCGATGACCAAACTGTCAGTGATAGAGCCGAAGACCAATATCTGAAATTGGACGAAACCGCCTCCAATCCATTCCATGCACACACAACTGCATTATTCGCTCGTACTTGAATCACAAGACAAGATTTCCATCTCTCACACTAAAGCGCAGGACTGCGGCAACCCATCCACCACCAGCATGGCCGAATCAGCCTACCTTGCCCGGCCGCCGAACCCTACGCCCGCCATGGCGGCGGGAAAATTTCAAAAAGGACGATTATAATTATTGGTCAACCAGCCAGTGACGCCGGGGCCCGGGCCGGTATCGATGATTAGGTTGCTGAACTAAACCCAGCGAAGGGGCGCCATGGCAGCAGGTGAGGCGGTTGTGAGCGTGGAGGGGCGATCATGTAGATGCGAAGGAGCAGACTCTGCCATGTCCATGTTGCGTGTTTAGCAGACTTCGTAATACTTGCGTGGAACTCGTGAATGAGTTGCTGTTCTTCCGTGTCTCCGAGAACGTGAACATGGCAGCTGACATGTGTTTCGTATCCTAGCAGGCTGTTGTCGAAGTTGGCTCCCCAACGTTCTATTGGTCCTGGTTCTGTTCGCGGGAGCAGTAGACTCGAGGCAGCAAAACACAGGCAAGGCGAAATGCTACGAGGCCCCCTCCCTTTCCTGACGCTGTTTGAAACAGAAGATGTCCCCATAGAATATCATAGAAGTCAACCAGATCGTCCCACGTTGCAGTACGTGTACGTCCAGAAGGGTCCTCCTCTGGTGACTGCTCGATCGTTCGAGACGGCAAGAAACATGCATGCTGGCGTTCCCTTGGACGGCATTGAATGGTTGCGGCCTGCAGAGCATTTTGTCAAGGTCCCGCCCAGACGCATGCTAGCAGTGCAGAAGCCTTCGGCCTTCGAGGGCGTTCCTCCCTGGATGTTCCTCTTGACGTTCGTGGGCGCTGTTGTGGGTATCATTCTGCTGTTCCAGCTAGCAGAAAGGATATGGGACAAGAGGCAGGAGCCGACGTGATGAGAACAATCTCGCAGCTGCCCGCCGTGTCGCTCTCGAGCCTGCTCGAGGCGTTGTAGTAACAAACAAGTTCATAGCACAAGTAAGATTGAAGATAGGAATGAATGTGATGGCAGAGACGGACACCTCCGTCCCGTTGTGCTTTCCGAGCCAACACGTTGCGTGCGAATCGAGAAGGTGTGAAGGGAAGCGGATCATAATAAGGAAGAATGCTTTACTACTTGGAGGCGCTTCCATTCCCGTTTCCATTCAGACCGACCTGCTGCCTCAGCTTGTGCACCTCGGCCGCAAGTACCTGCAAGTGCAGCTAGAGTCATCACTTGCTACATGTCGCTGACCGCAATAACCTTCTTTGCCCGCTGGAAATGCTCTTCCTCCTACATCAACGTCAGGAGATGATCGGACCCTTGGAAGCTATCAGGGGCCACCTGCTTCCGCTTCGCTCTCTCCTCTTGCAGCTGTCTCTCCGACTCCGCCAGCTGATTCCTGTTGGAACGTTGAGCGCGGAATTGCGTTGGGGGGACGGAACAAGTAAGTATAACCTCAGCTCTTCACAAGATTTCTCGAGCTCCTGCGCTCTCATCGTCGATTCTGAAGCTTGCAGGGAAGGATCCTTCTTTGTATTCTGGCAACACAACTTGGAATCTCACAACCTTTGAAAAGCCTCCTACCTCTAAATCCTTGATTTTCTGATCTTGAAATTTCTTAATCAATGCATCTGCTTGTATCTTTGCAATCCTCAGTGGCTGAAAACCCGCATGGCACTCCTGACCTGTGCGTAGAGCTGCTCTCTCTCTTTCTTGAGACCGTTAACAAGATCTTCAAGCTCCTCCACTTTTGTCTTGATGAAAGTCAGAACCATCATACCACACGTGGAACACAATCACCTGGAGCGACGCATGCTCACCAATCCTAATTGACATCAGCCCCTGGCTTGATGGTCAGCATTGCATTCGTAGTTGAGAAATGCCAAGCTTGACCTTTGTCACAGCCGTCACTCCACTCGAAACTGCTGCACGAAGCCCCTGCTAGGTATCCATCACCCTCCAGGCCGGCATATTCTATCTTACCTGAGGGACTTGCGTAGATGTTATGGCATCCATATTCACCGCCTCTGCCATCTGTTTTGCGGTCTGCAGTTTTTCCCATTTGTATAGGATCAACAGCGGAACAAGATGCTGCGGGAGAGGCATTCAGCGCCATCTCAGTCAAGCCAGTCATCGACTTACGTCTCTCACACTGTGTGACACACTTGCTAAGTTGATCAAGCAATGCCTTTCTTTCTGCAAAAGGAAATGCCCAACTACTTGGATCACAGCACGGAGGGGTATCGACTGTAACCCGAACTGGACAAGGTCGTTCATCTTGAGCGATCCCCTGTGGAAGGATCATCAAGGCAAACGAGCCCAGCACCTCCCACCTTTCCTTCTTCCCCGAAGCGCCTCCTTGAACCTGTCCCTTGACATTCAGATGCAGATCCAGAATGGTATTTCCATTTGCTCACCACTTGCGTTTCACCCAAGTCTTGAACACTCCTCTCCAACATAGAGGCATAACGAGTCACTTGCCTTGAGAGGTGCAATATCTCTTGACGAGGATCCTTCTTGCTTTCAGAAGCTTGTGTCACAGCCTTGGGCAGTATCTCCTTGTATTCGATGCTTCGCTCGAGCTTGTCTCGGTTCACCATGCCCGATACTTTGGCGGCAGCTGCTCGAGCTGCTGGCGACGGACCTGGTAGTGGTGGCGGTGACATGGAGGGCACTGGAGCTGATGTTGGTGACAATGATCGGAAGGGGGTTGGAATTGGCGATGAGGCAGAATTTCCTCTACACGATAAATTCAGGTGCAACCTGATATTCATTCTAACTGGAACTCACCTGGACTTGTCCTTCAGCCACGCCCATCCTTCTCCGTCTTCCATCTTTCCTGTTGCAGCGTTCAACTACAATGCCGGTAAAGTTTTCCGGGTTGTCGCTCGAGATCTTTAGCAGTACCATCCCTCGTACTTCAGACCCAATAGTCTTTGTATCCCTTAGCTACCCTCTCCAACTCATCACAATCCTCTCCTCTCCATTCCCATGATTGTTCCTTTAATTTCTTCCCTACGTTGTTACTAAGTTATTTTCCCCGTTCTCTGCTTCCCCTCCCTTCCCCCTCCTTCCCCTCCGAATCGTTCACAAACCCATAGATGGCTGCTGCTGAACAAATTCCTTTTTTATTGACTGAAAAAGAAGGGCAAACCGGAGCAAACAAAGGAGGGGGAGGATAAAGCCTTAAAACCCGCCTCAATAAAATACTAGGAAACGAAGGAGGCAGCGAAAACCGCTACACCAACCACGCAAGCGACGGCATGCACGACAAGCAGGGGAACAAGGATCAGGACAAAGAGCAGTAGCGCAAGGCCCCTGCGAGGAGGACGGCAAGACCCATACGAGAGCGATACTGCCGAAACAGACGAGCACGCAAACGATGAAAGCCAGGGTCCCCATACACCGCCTCCTGAGCGCATCCATCCCACTCCGCTGTCAGCGTAGCTCCATGGTGATCCGCCAGGTACCAGAGAAACCGCAAAGCGTCAGCATGAAGAAGACCATCCGTACCTTCAGTGAAGGGAAGAAAGGCCTTCGGTGGGTGATGGGTGCCATAACTTGCGCGATGATCGGAAATCTTCTGTTGGGCGGGGCCGGAGAGCACAGAAAGTCCGACGGGGCTGCCGCTGCTGTTGTAGGGATGAGTCATCGTGAAGTCCAGAACCAGCCCATTCCAGGTGTGGGTGGAGAGGCCAGGGTGCCAAAGGTCGCCCATGTGTCGGTTGGTGGGGCCATGCTGAGGAACAAGGGTCCGGGTGTGTCGCAGTCCCTGTTGATGGAGCTTCGTGACGATACCAGCTTCCACACAAATGTCGCGAAGAACCACAGTACACTGCTCATGTGCGGTGGTCCATAGAGCAGCGCGATGACGACAATTGGCCAAATGAGAGACACTGCTTCCCGCCGATGCATCTAGAGCTGTAGCACAACGATCACAGGTGGGAGGCAGCTTAGCCGGGGGTAGCCCATGCAGGAAGCGATCGACCCCTCGTGCGAGGTGGATGGGACACTGGTTGGAAGGGTGAACGTTGGTGGCCTCCATCAGAGAGTATTGCAAGCGCCGCTGTGGGTTTTGAGTCTTCCGAAGGAGGGGCTCCAGGGGGAACGGGGTAGAAGACTGACTCGCTGCCTCGGGGGGATAGAGCTCCACCGTGTAGCTGCCATGAGCCCGGAGGAGAGCTGCCTGAACCTGAGATAAGTGCGCCCGCCACTCAAGGTGAGGGGGAAAAGTCTGCATCAGCCGTCCTGTGACTGAACGCTGGGGGGGGAGAAAAGGAGGTTGGCGCCCGCGAGTTGAAAGAGCGCTGGAGATGGGATCGAATTGTGCAAACGTGCGTCCTCCAGGTCACTGGGGTCCAGGTATTGCGGCACTCCACGATCAACCAGGGCCCGCCTTGGTTGGATCAGGGCAAAGACGCAGCCCCCCAGCAGGTTGATCGGCATGCCCGTCACCGCGTCCGCAAAGGTCCCGTGCGGGCAGAGCTCGGTGCACCTGACAGTCAACAAGATGGAAAATAGGCAGCCTGCACACAGTGATGTTTTGCTCATGATCGCATTCATCGTCGCGCTCTTTTTCCTTAGCATCTAATATTGAAGCTCATGCAATATATACTGATCACACAAAAAGAACATAAATGATCAAGCTGGGATTACAAAGGGAACAATCAACACCAAACTTTTAGAAATAGTTTTGAAGAAAACCAATTTTCAAATAACAACTCTCATTACAAAAAAAATCATCATACCAACCTCAACACACAGGAACCCGGGTCCAAACCAAGTTTCTCCCGATGAGACCTCATCCTCCTGGCAGCCGACCCCAGCAGACCCTGGAGCTCTCCCTCCTCCACGTAGTAGTCATCCACCAGGCCCATCATCCCCTCGCCAGACTCCCTCCTAGGCATGATCCTCCCGTGGTTCCCCCTCCCGGACTCATTCGACTGCAGAGGAGAGACCTTCATCGCGTGGTGCATGAAGGTGCTGCTGGACCACTTGAACCCGACAACTCAGCCATCGTAGACCCACCCCAAGACCATGCGGATACACATGAATGTGACCCCACTCGGGCCTCCCACAGGACCTCCCCAGCCCCCGCTGCACGCACCCGACGAACTTGTAGTAGTTCAGGCCCTCCATCCCCAGCCTCCTGCAATCTCCAGGCAGACCGCCCAGGATCCTCTCCCCAAGAAGCCAGTGCAGAGCCCCATTGTCCGCGTTCATGCGCGAATACCCGTGGATCGAATTCCTCTTGTGGTGCAGATTGAACCAGTCAAACAGGAACCGCCTCCCGTACTCACTGTTCCTCGCGATGTACTGCGCTGCCACCTCGTTGTGGAAACGGTGGTAGAAGTAAAAGTCCTTCCCACTGGAGGTCCACTCCTCTATGCAGTGCCCGGGGATTCACAACCTCGCTGTCCCCGTCGAGCGAAACGATGTAGTCGCCCTCTCCCACATCCTGTATGTAGTAGTATGCCACACACACCCTTTTGAAGAAAAAACCGTCCACCTCACCGCACCGGGGGTCTTTCACATCAAGAACCTGAGCAGAGTACCCCCGCTGCAGCGCATAGCACCTCACCGAGTCGCTGTTCGAGCTGTACTTCTCGGCAGCGCCCTGGCTCGACAAGATCAGGAAGTGATACTTCACCCCTCCCATGACCTGACCGGCCGAACGCCCACTTGCTTCCAAAGGTGCCTTGCCCGAGACATTCTTCAAAATCTGGACTGCTTTCAAAACATCGTCCTGAGTCGCATTCCGAGCCCTAGGCTTCTAAATCCCTTCGACTCAAAAGCCCACTACTTCTTATGCACCCAAGAACAGCATGTTTCCTCTGATATAGACTCTGATATAGTTTCCTCTGATATAGACAGAGGAAACATGCTCCTCTCACCCTCTCACCTATTCCATACTCTGCCGTTCTACACCCTCGATTTCCTCCCCCTCCCTCAAAACCAAAGCATACCCATGCTTGTACCCTGCCCTGATGCCCATGAAGCACTTCAGCACCCTGACCAACACATACACCAACAGCAGCACAAAAACAAAGTACGAAAGAAACGCGGGGACCACCACCCACAGCAAAGTCTGTAGCCACGACCTCCTGCTCTCCATCCCGAGATGCACCAGGTACGCCTCCGAAGTGTCACACAGCATCTTGATCTCATAGGTCTCGCAGGGATGCATGTACCCCCTCGGGATCAGCACAGCGTCGGAGGCATTCCCCGAATGGATCGGGTTGTAGAAGAGCCTGGTCCCAGTCCCAGTCCAGGTCTCCGTCACGTTGCCAGCCGAGATCATGTCAAGCGCACTCCTCAGTTTCCCATGCCTGGGCATGGACCCAAACATCCCATTCGGAGTCCTGTTCCCAAGCATCAGGCTCCAGTGATCCAACCAAACTCGGTGTAGAAGAATGGATACTGCACCAAGGGATGCATGCTCCTCTTGCACGCGAAGTCGACGTCAAAATAACTCCCGCCCAAGTGGTGGAGGATCGCGTACCTGGCAACGTCCGACCTCCTCACAATCAGATCCTTCAAATCATGGACGCTGTTGTTCAGCCTCTGCTGGTAGACCTCAAATACCCCCGAATAGTGCCTGTCCCTCCATTGGGTGAAATTGAGCTCGCTGTTGATACTACGGCATAAAACAATATTCTCGTGAACCTGCTGTGGAATACTGCTGTTCCCTAGCCAGATCTGATGCACCGCGAGCGGGATCCACTCATGCATTTCAGGGAAAACGAGGAATGTGGATTCATTTATAGCAAAGAATAGTATTCAATCATCTCATACACCTCAGGTCCCCCAAAGATCAGTGGGAGCCTGTCAACAATTGAGAGCTTCTAGCCCTTCTACAGAACGCTATTTCTGTTTCAAAGCGAATTTTTCTGAAGAATGTTTCAGAGCGATTTTTGTTTACAAATGGCTATTTAAAAATCCTGCTCTTGGGATGATCCGTGCACTGTGGACGTTGGGGACTCGGGGCGTGGCACCGCGTAGCGATGCCAAGATCTGATCTCCTCCAAAGTTTGTGACAGCTCTGTTTTTGAAACAGCATTCGCCCTGTGATGCTCCACAGTACTTAATGTGGGTGTTCTCTGAAGACCAGATTCTACTAGCGCATCGAGGACAACTTGAGCTCCGACAGGAGCCCCCAGGGCTTGAAAGTTAGGCTCCCTGAGATTTGTACAAATTCAAATCAAAATAGTTATCAACCATCAAAACTGCCTTGCCCTGGTGAGCGCGCTCTACAAACACGTCTCCACTCAGTTGTAGTTGCGCAGCGAGGATAACTCGAGCTCCGACAGGAGCCCCCAGGGCTTGAAAGTCTCCCTGGATACAAACACAAGTCAAAAACACTCATCAACACTGCAGGCACGCACACAAACCTGATCTCGTCGTAGACAAAACAAAAGGCCCGCACCTCCTCGTCCCCTGAGTCCGAGTCCTGCCTCATCCCGTCAGTCAACCACCAAAAACCACCAGGAAAAAACTATCAAACCATAGCACCCGAAGACCGACCATGCCCGAGACAGCAGGGATGGCCGTACTGGCACACCCACACCTCTTCCACTCCGACCAACCTCAGCCTGCCGAGCCCACCTACCCAATTCCGTCACCGCTCCCCACTGAGAGACTCCCAAAGCACGACCTGTGATGAAGTAGTCCCGGGTGGGTTGTGAAGGCTCCGTCTCATGCTCGATTATGTGCTCCCAGGTCGCGTTCAGGGTGCATTCCGAGTCTGCGAGAGTGACGTCCAAAGAAGAGACAGGGGTCGTCTCCGGGATGGTAGAAGTCGTGCTGAGATCTCCTTCTCCCACTGGGGTCGTCTCCGGGGGGGTGGTAGAAGAGCTGCTAACCATCATCTCCCCTCGGTTATCACATTCCGTTTCGTCCTGGCAAGTCCCAAGCCACGCATCCAGCTGCACAGATGGCGGCCATGATGCGTGGTAGCAAGTCAAGTGATTGTTTTGCAGCCATACATTGATGAGATCATTTGAATCAGAAAAGGCTTGGGAGGGAATGCATGTTAACTGGTTGTACTGAAGATCTAGATACTGCAGTCCTGACAGCCCGGAGAACACCCCCTCAGGGAGGCTCGTCAGCTGGTTGTGAGAAAGATATAGATACTTCAGTCCTGACAGCCCGGAGAATACCCCCTCAGGGAGGCTCGTCAGCTGGGTGTGAGAAAGATATAGACCCTGCAGCCCTGACAGCCCGGAGAACACCCCCTCAGGGAGGCTCGTCAGCTGGTTGTGAGAAAGCTCTAGCGACCGCAGTCCTGACAGCCCGGAGAACACCCCCTCAGGGAGGCTCGTCAGCTCGTTGCCGCCGAGATATAGACCCTGCAGCCCTGACAGCCCGGAGAACACTCCTACTGGGAGGCTCGTCAGCTGGGTGTCCCAAAGCTCTAGCCACTGCAGTCCTGACAGCCCGGAGAACACCCCCTCAGGGAGGCTCGTCAGCACGTTGCCGACGAGAGATAGACCCTGCAGCCCCTGCAGCCCGGAGAACACTCCCTCAGGGAGGCTCGTCAGCTGGGTGTTCCAAAGATTTAGCCACTGCAGTCCTGACAGCTCGGAGAACACCCCCTCAGGGAGGCTCGTCAGCACGTTGCCAAGAGATAGACCCTGCAGCCCTGACAGCCCGGAGAACACTCCCTCAGGGAGGCTCGTCAGCTCGTTGCCGGAAAGATCTAGATACTGCAGCCCCTCTAGACCAGAAAACACCCCCTCAGGGAGGCTCGTCAGCTCGTTGGCGCCAAGAGATAGACTCTGCAGCCCCTGCAGCCCGGAGAACACTCCTTTCGTCATATTTGTGATGCCTTGAGAATATAGATTCAGAGTTTCACAATCGCTCTCGCAGCTGCCCTCCCTCGTCAGCAGCCCCTCGTCTGAAACCCGGAAAGTGCACCCTCCGCAATTCACGCTGCTCGCGCCGTATGCCATCGGGATAGCCATCCACACCACCGCCATGAGCATCATGAGGTCCCGAGGCCATGCCATCCTCTTGTGCTTGCCTGCTGGATGGCAGAACACTTCACTCAAAGGGCAGGGTGGTCAGGGCTTTCAGGCTATTGCTCTACACACCCCCACCCTCTCCCTTCCACTTGTGCTTGCCTGCTGGATCCCTGGATGGGCAGGGAGGTGAGGGCTTTTACTCGACACACCCCACCCTCTCCCATCCTCTTAAGGTGCTTGCCCACGGGGGTGGAACTACTATGGTGCTTGCCTAGATGGTCAGGGTGGTCAGGACTCCCAGGTTTGCTCGGGACTGGGTTGTAAAAAAAATGGTACAAATTTGAAGTGTCAACAGTCAACCGTGTTTCAACGGTTTTCATCTTCCTGTCAACATGGGTTCCAGAGAGAGGGAGAGGGAGAGGGAGAGGGAGAGAGAGAGAGAGGGAGGGAGAGAGGGAGAGAGGGAGAGAGGGAGGGAGAGAGAGGGAGAGGGAGAGGGAGAGGGAGAGGGAGAGGGAGAGGGAGAGAGACAGAGAGAGAGAGGGGCTTTTTGGTTGACCTTTAAAACTAAAATCCCTCTAAAACCGTGAACCTTAGCTTGCCCTAAAACAGGAAGCAATCGCTGAGCGCAGAAGAGACAACTTTGATGAGCACAGCAAGACTGACTGTTATGAGCTCTGATTCAGACAGAGGAATAATGTACGGAACAACGAAGTAGCACTTTGGTGGAGAGGAAAGGACTGAAACGATGAAGGAATGAAGAGAGTTCTGGAGGTGATGAAGAACGGTAGGAAGGGGAATAAGGAAAGGTTTATTCGGGATTTGATTACAAAGGAAGAAGGATAGATCAACCCTATTCGTGCTAGAGGCGATAGAGAAGATCAGCGGGGATCCGTGGTGGAGGGACAGAAGGGTAGAAAAGAACCCTGATCCACCAGTTGAGGTAGAACATATCTATCCACAACGAGCAATGTCAGCAAGGGAACAAACAAGATAAACCTTTCATGTCATCTTTAATGATGACAGCGGTCGAGTACGATGATCGCTATAGGTGACGATAGCCCTAGATCATCCTTGGTATGACAAGTATAGATGGTTGGTAGGAGCAAGAGCCATGATGTGTGTTGCTCATGACAAACGAAGATAGGCGGTCGTCAGGTATCATCCTTGAAGGTGATGTGCGAGGATGCGCTCAAAGGTACTCGATGAAGGCACCTTTGATGCGGCAGGAGCAAGCTTGAAAGCACAGCTGAGGTATCATGCTTACATGCTGATGGATCAAAGGCGATCACTGTTGTACCAGAGTGCGGTATCTTCTGTCATCTCACTCGAGGGTCGTAGAGGCCAAGCGGAGGCCAAGGGGTCAAGCAAGCATTGTTGCAGGCGCTGCGGCTTTCGAGTCGGCGGTCGCAACGTTGGAACTGATTCAGCTCTGTGAGAATTGCTCTGTTCTCCATCAGCTTGGTGAGTTTTTCCATCAATACTGACTAAGGATGGAAAGCATGCTGTAAGGGATCTTTCCTTCCAGGTTTTTGTGATGCCTTGGATACAGATAGCGCTGTAAAGATGGTGCAAGTATGACAAGCACAGGTATTCGACTTTCTAACAGATAGAGGCTTGAACTAGCCGAGCATTGCTTGATACATGCCAAGTCTGTCTCCAATTTAGCTCCATCTGCAGGACATCCCAGCTTTGAAGGTACATCTTGAATAACTTTTCACCTCATTCAAGATACAAAAAGTTGATCTGATAACTTGTTGAGTGCTTGAAATCTTCATCATGTGACGATAGATGCAATTGAGCCCCCTATTGTAATTTCTCCCTCAACCCCCCATCCTGACCTCCTGCCTTGACTGTGCCCCTCCTCGCGTTCCTGCGTGCTGTGCTCATACAGGGCGCACGCTCACCACAAGTATGCCATTGCATCGCGATACACCCCGTGTTTCTGTCAAACGTACCTACTTTTATCACAGTGAGAAAGTTCTTGTTCAACAGACTTCGTACAAGATTCTACAAATACTCATCTGTCATGTACTTCAATTGCGTCGCACAGACGTGTGTAGCCCTGTATCTCGTAGTTCGACATGGTGTCCGTCTGCTTTCTGTCCCTCGCATGCGATCACGATCACATGGAGCGTTTAAATCGATGGAAGTTTTCACTGGTGAAGAGTTCCTGGAACAATTTCGATTCAGAAAGGAGCATTTCTTTCAGATTCTAGAGGCTATCAAAGATGAACATGGTCTTCATCATCTTGAGGGTACACCGTCAATTGCCTATGGTCTACCATGTACCCGGGTGCACCGTCAATTGCCTATGGTCTACCATGTACCCTCAATGTTAAGCTTTGGTAGGTCTGGTCACACAACTTGGATATGATCTGACCATGCCATGATGATTTTGTCAAGACGACTTGCGTTTCCCTTTTGTGACGACGTACCTGGAATTTGTGACGACGTACCTGGACTTCCGCTGTCTGCTGACTTGAAGGCATCAGCAGCATTTTCACTGGCTGTTACATAATCGAACTGAGGCATATTTATGCTGACACGCTTCTGGACTGTGTTCATGACTGCTTGCAACCGAGTATTGGTATCCTCTTCCTCAGCGTTTGCCATAGCCCGTTGTTGATCACATTTCTGTTCCCAGCGACGTTTAATACGCGAAAGTTGTAAGTACAATTCATCGAGTTCCCTCATCGCATCACCGCCGTTTTGAGCACGTTTGATGTGTCACTCCTCGCCTTTTTGTATAATGGAGTTGGCCTCTTTGATAGCATCTTGGAACTTCTCTCGCGTATTACTCTCCTTCAAACAGCCATCGAAAAGAGGATCTTGGTTGAGGGCGTCCGTAACATCACAGTGTACGTTTTTCTTTTCCTTGTTCGAGCCAAACAGCTTGGTGGGAGGGCAAGTAACCATAGCAGCAACATTCATAACAAGTAGTTTATACCCATCTTGACCTGGATTTCCTTGCTTCTTAATACTCGAAAGGTCTCCCGATTCGGAGTTCCGAGTCATCTCGGAGGCCCCAGGGCAATATCAGCCAACAGCAGTACTCCATACTGCAGGAATACTACCAAAGAACCCAGAGCAGGGATGCAGCGGATATCCTCATCTACCTGCAGGCACAGCCAGAGACCGCACTCCTGAGGGTCAAGCCTCGGAGAGGGCTCGCCACGAAGAAACTTCGGAAGCTTGGGCCCGGAATACCTGTCCCTCCTGCACGGCCTGCATGAGGATGAAGCTTTCCAGAAATTCCAGAAAACTTGAAGTGAGTGGCTCTAGGGCTGGCTCTCTCCATCTGATCGATGCAGATCAGCCTGTTTCAGACATCGCAGCTTTGATCCATTCGCACATCAACAGTTACAAAAAGCAACAGAAATAAATAAGGGTGCGCCTCAGAGCCTAAAAGAAGCTTGACCCGCGGCTCTTCGGTATGGCGACAGAGGAGGGGAGGAGATGGGGAGGAGAGTGATGGCGATGGCGCGAACAAGGAAGGAGAGGGAGGAAAAAGAGATTCGATTAGGAGGATGCGTGAGATTCATGTCCCAGCATGAGAATTTGTGTCCACTGAGATACCGTTCAATGAGGCCTCATATGGAAGGTACAGTACGTTTTGACATCGGAGCACAGAACAAAGAAGGGAAGGGGTGGGGTTACAAGAGGCTATCTTAGAAAGCAGGTCGAGAAGGAAGGAGTGAAACTTAGAGCGATTGAAGAGACAGACCATGAGGGTAGAGAATAAGGAGTGTGCGGCGAGTTCTAGGCGAACTAGGTGTTATACGAGTTCATATGTGTTGACGATTTCCTGTGTAACCTTTATCCACAAAGCACTGATCTCTCTTGCAGACATGGAAGTGCTTCTCGGGAAGGATGTCACTCCAACCGTTGGCCAGGTGAGTGTTGTCCGGCGAAATGACTGGTTTGATCCACCAGTGGGGAAGTTTTGACTTGAATGCAGCGTGTAAAAATGGCATCGCAGTTCAAAGACAAGGTGAGGCTGGCAATAGCAGGGAAGGAAAGAAAATGACAATGATGAAGGGCCAAGGGACTGTGATTGCTGTACATGCCAATGGTGGATATTGCTCTGTGAGGTGGGACAACGGGCAGGAGGAGAAAGTCGTCTTCACTGGTCAGAGGGTAAGTGCGACATGCTTTTCCGAATTTTGTCATAGAGTTCTGCCCGCTGAATATTGCTCATGAAGGGTGATTACTTCCTTGTATTAGACGGAGACAGTGGTCCGGTGAGTACAACAGTGACCGTTGGGAGGCTGAAAGTTTCTGACGTGCGTTCCCGTAGATGTCGACCCAGGGTAACGAACTTCTCTATGTGGATGCCTGAAGATTGCAGATCAAATTGACAGCCATACTTGTTGCAGACACGGGGGATGATAGTGCATCTTCCGCAAACTTGCACAAGCAGCTGCTTGCCCAGGAGGTCGTGAAGGTGACAGCGACAAGAGCACATCCAAGAGAGCATGCACATGACATATGTCAACAGCTTCGAAGAGAAGTCGCTCAGTTGCGTGCCTCGGGTGGAGGCGAGAGCTCCGAATCTTCACATGTACATTCTCATCTTTAGTGCTATGGAAACATTGATGAGTTGTACTTTAGGCCCTTAGACAGGCTCAGATTGAGATCGCTCGCCTGGAGGCACAAAAAGCTGAGGTTTGTCCTCTTTTTTTTAACGCGATGTCCTGGTGTCTTTTGATAGCGCTTTTTCAGGTCATCGCCCAGGCCAATGCACAGAAAGCGGTCCTGGCGAAAGAGGTCTGCCATCTGTCCTTCTGACCGCCTAGAAGCTCATGGGACTGAAGGTCAAGAGCCTTCGAGCGGAACTTGAGAGGTTGGGTCCGAATAGGAATGGAGCGATGAGGTGGACAGCTTGATTTGTCTGCCAGTGTGTACTGCTGACACTCAGACAGTGGGGACAATGTTCCGACAGAAGACCTCGTTGACTCCCTCCAGCGAAGAAAAGAATTTGAAGAGAATTTCACCCGAACACTGCGAGACCTGCGCAAGGAGCTGGAGAACACGTCTATCAAGAGCCTGAGCTCCAAGGGACAGGTTCGTTTCCCAGCATCGATCGAGTTGCCGACGCCTCCTTTTAGGTCTCCCTCGGCATCCGATCGCTGCTCCAGCTCAGCAACGAGCGAATTGAAAAAGTAATGGAAGAGGCAGCTCAGGTGAAGTCGCAACCTCTGCAAGAGGTTCAGGCTGATCCATCCATCAGGTCCCAGTTGAGGAGAGGCTACACATCGAATCTCTCCGCCTTCTCATGGAGAATGCAAAACTGCGCAAGTGTCTGAACGAGTACGATACTTCCGCCTTCCAGGTCCTTATGGTAGTTCCAAGGTTCTTACTTATGGATCAGGTATTCCGAAGGACTCCTTCAGCACACCCTGGTCAAGGCGGATCAAGTGAATGGGCAGTAAGAGTCAAAAGTTCTTTTCCTTCTGATTTGACTTGCGTGGGCAGGACCACAAGGAACAGCTCCTCTTTCTTCGGGTTGATTTGACCGGCAAATCCTACACAAATCGATCTAGCATCGATTGTAAAATGATAATCATTTAGCTATTGGCATTACATGCGTGCGCTCTGAGATATTCAAGAATCCCTGCTCAAACAAACTCTGTTGCTCACGTTGCTCACTGCTTTGTCATGTGTTATGTGGGCACAAGACATTCAGGGGTAGGTGTGAAATGTCGTCAACATAGGGCAAGCACCCAACTCCTCACGCGCAAACAACTTTGTGGTATTCATTGTACAACAAATCATGGTCATCCCATCATCTCATTCAAACTCTTCGTGTCCAACGGTTCTCAGTCAAAATTCTCTTGCCCCACCGACTAAAAGTCCATCAGCTCAAGTTGTTTGCTTTGCAAATCAACGCACCAACGAGGGTTAAGAAATCTCCTAGCCCCTCTAGTACCGGAACCCTCCATCATCATTGGCACCAATAATGCCCGTGAAATGCTGAACGGCTTCATCATACGTGCTGAGGAGAACCGTCAGGCCAAGGAGCATCACTAACATGGTTTGTAAGACCTGGAGGATGTGTATGCCTGATCTCCCTGTGCAAAGCCGTAGACTGGGACGGTGTCAGTGAGGATGCAAAGGGAGAGAGCTTTGTATACTGTGATGCTGGTGCCAACCACCAAGGCAGACGTCATCCTGCCCTGCGAGCCATCAAAGTCAAACGTTGCAATGTTTGTTGCTTTCACAGGAGCGCTCGATTCTTGTTTACCAAGGGTAGCGGAGTGACTCATGGTGTCGCAGGCATTGTTGTTCCCATCCATGCCATTGTTGTGATTCTGAGTCCAATCTACACGATGTGTCAAGAAAACAAACAGAAGGAACCTCCTCTCACTCTTTTGCTCTTTGCCATGTACCAACCTCCATCTCAACACCATCCAGCTACCATTACTCCCTCATCATTGTTGCTTTGATCTACTTCTGCGATGTTCATCCCAGTTATCTTTCACTCTTGCGTAGTCTCCCGTTCACTCTCATGCACACTTAATGGTTCCCCGCAAGCTGCTTATCTTTCTCTGAGGTAGATCCGCTCAATTTCTCTTCGATTTCTCCCTAGGTAGTTCTCCTCCGTCTTCCAGCCTGTCACTCTGCTCTATGTATGGAGGATTCATATTGCGTTTTTCCCTCCTTAAACTTCCCTCCCATCCTCATGGCCACCAACATCCACCACCTGCCCTTTGGCTCGCCCTCTCTATTTTCATGCGTCGCATCTCATATCTCCTCAGCTACTCTCATGTGATCCAGCCTAGACTCCTCATAGCCAAACCACCTGGTCAGGCAACGAACTTCTGCAGTTGTCATCATCTCTTGTCCCCTCCTCTCCTGATCTCTCGTTTATCACATCTACTCCTCCCCTCCCCCTATCCCTTCCTATCCTCCTCTCCTCCTTTCTTCAGCTCCCTCGTTACTCCTGCTTTCCTGATCTCCTCGTTTCTCTTCTGTCTACATCTTCTCCTCTCCTCCTCTCCTCCTGCATCATCTTCGACTTACTCCATCCGAAGAAGTAGAGCAACTGGAACATTGCCGCCGGATATAGCGCCGCACCCGTTACGAGTGTAACGAAATGAATTTTCAACGGTTTGTAACTGTAAATCCGTTTGTGGGTAACGGTTGACACGAGGATCCGAGAAATGGCACACTAGCGACGATCATGGCAGGGGGAGGAAAATGGGGAGGGGAATGTGATGGGTTAGAAGTGAGTGAGAGGTGAAGATGTGCAAGAAAGTGAAAATGTGTAGATGACAAACATACAGCGAGAGAAGGCCGATGTCATCTAGACAGAAGCCATGCCCGTAGAAGAGGTATCGCATCTGTCATACAGGACGCAATGTAGTTAGGAGAGGGGAGGATGAAGATAGCCGGGAAAGAAACATCAACAGGTTGCATATATATTCGCATGTCTGATCTCTTTTCAAATTCGCAGGTTCGACTTGACCGTCCAAGTTTTCCCTGGACCTTGATATCAGCGTCGGTCCCTCAATGCACAGCACGAATCGCCTCTCTGGGGGCGTCCTCCTGGGCTTGCTTCTTGCAGGTTCTCTCCTTCCATACGCGTTGGCACAGGAGGACGTGATTGGCTGCGGGGGATTCGTCCGCCTGTCGGGAGATTTTGCCAATGACGAGAAGCCAGACCTCTCGCCGATCCGAGTGAAACTGTACACGCTGGGAGGCGTGTTCAAGTCCGAGACCGAGTGTGCCCCCAACGGCTACTACTACCTCCCCATCTACGAGAAGGGCAGGTACAACGTCCGACTCGAAGGGCCCCCGGGCTGGATGTTCGACTCGGCAGAGCAGGAGGTGAGTACTGAAGACGACGGGCCTTGCATGCAGGGCAAGGACATCGACTTCAAAGTGGTGGGGTTCGCCCTTGCTGGACAAGTCCGCACGGAGGGCTCGGAGTCTGGCCCAGCAGGGGTTCACCTGAAGCTGCAGAGCAAGTCGGGGGGGACCTTCTCCACGGAGACGGGAGAAGGGGGAGTTTTCACCTTCAAGGACGCCCCGCACGGGACCTACACGCTGACCGCTCACCATCAACGATACAAGTTCCGCCGCAACTCCGTCGAGGTTGTGACCTCCTTCGGTCAGTCGGACGTGAAGGAGACGTTCGATGTGATCGGCTACGACGTCAAGGGCGCCGTACGCTGGACGCAGGGAGCAGCCGCGTCGGAGGTTCCGGTGCTCCTGAAGCCGCAGGGTGGCTCGGAGCGACCGCGGGACCTCCTCTGCAAAGTCTCTGACACAGCGAGAGAGCAGGGGGCATGGTGCTCGGCCGTTTCAGGAAAGGACGGGTCGTACGTCTTCGAGCATGTTCCCTTGGGCCTCTACCACATCAGCGTAGACAAGAAAGACTCGCAGTCCTCACGGTTTGAGTTCGACAGGGACAGTGTCTCAGTGGCTGTCGAGCACTCGCCGGTGATCGTCGATGAGCCGTTGAGCCTGAAGCAGTTCGTGATCGGCGGGAAGGTGCTGGATTTCAAAGGGAACGGCGTCGCCAAGGCTACGGTGTCCATCAACGGCTCGCCTGTGGCTGAGACGGACCAGTCGGGCTCCTACTCCATCAAGACTTCTGTTGGCTCGTACTCTATCACAGTGAGCAAGGAGAACATGCTCTTCGACGAGCTGAAGGGCTACGAGCTCTCTCCTCAGCTCCGGAGGATCGGCAGCATCCAGGCCAGCAAGTACTCCCTGTGCGGCAAGGTCAACATGGAGCCTGGCTCTCCGGTCCAGGGGCACAAGGTGAGCATCCGCTCGTCGAAGGGAGGGCGGCAGGAGTCTCTGCTCACCGACAGCAAGGGAGAGTTCTGTGTGATGCTCGCGCCCGAGGAGTACGTGCTCTCCGTGTTCGCAGGCACTGGCATTATCATGACTCCCTCTGAGAAGAAGGTCGCGCTGGCAGACGGCCCGGTGTTGAACGCGGAGTTCAGGCAGGCAGCACTGCACGTGCAGGGAAGCATTGATTGCCTGGAGAGCTCCTGTGGGGACAACATCAAGATCACTTTGATTAAAGATGGTCAAAACGTCAAGTCGGAGACTCTGAACGGGAAGTCGAAGTTCTCGTTTGCAAACATCCCCGCCGGGCCTTACACGGTCACGGTCGAGAAGAAGGACTGGTGCTGGAAGTCTCAGTCAATCAGCGTCAAGGTTGGAACCGAAGACTCTTCGTCCCTCAAGTTCGTTCAGGCTGGCTTCTTGACAAGTGAGGATGGTGGGGACACGTTCCTTTCTTTCTGAGATCTGTGCTGCAGATGTCGAAGTCCCAAGGTCCCTTCCCGTCAAGCTTGTCCACCAGTCAGGCACCAAGTACGATTTGAACCTGCAGACGGGGCAGACCACTCTCTGCATCCCTCGCAGTGGCACCTTCACGATTGAGAGCGACAAGTGCGTCAGGTGAGGACAAGATCCCTCGTCCTGCGGGCCGGATGATGGACGGGATGGCAGGCTGTCGGAGAAGACCTTCACTGCGCCATCGGCAAAGGTCCTCAAGTTTGCAGTCGAGGAGGTCTCCACAGACCTGATGGTGAGGTTCTCGCACGTGCTGGGGCGCCTGATGTCTCGGGTCAGGTGGAGGCCAAGCCCAGGTCGGACATGCAGATCTCTTTCGAGCTTCAGGTAAGCGGGGAATTATCGAGAACGGGTTCATCCGTTTGGAGTCCTGACAGCCGCCCTCAGGTCCAGCGTTCCAGCGGGAAGAAAGTTGAGACAGTCAAGGCCGAACCCAAAGGAAACGCTTATGTGGCCACGATCTGGACGAAGCCTGGACAAGTGGTGATAAAGCGGAGGGGGGGAGGGGGGGGGTTGTGGTAGTGATGTCAGCGGCGGCGGCAGTTAATGGGGGGAAGGGCGAGGCGGGGGGAGGGATTGGAGGAAGGAGGAGAGGGAGGAGAATCGAGTAAGAGCAAGGAGCAGAGAGCAGGCGGAAGAAAGACGAGCAGCAATTGACGGGGTTGCCAGGTTGACATCACTCCCAAGGTTGAGGGAGAGAACCTCATGTTCGAACCGCGGTCAGAGGTGGTGAAGCCGTCCTTTGAGAACCGATGCAGCTCCGAGAAGATCAGGTTCACTACTAAGGTCGGGAGGATGCTGAAGGGGAAGATCGAGCCTCCTCTCTCCAATGTGATTGTGCGAGTGGTAGAGGAAGTGAGGGGAGGAGGAGCACAAGAGCATGAGATCGCACGGGCCGTCACCGGGGATGACGGGCAGTACTCCATCGGGCCAGTCTGGGACGAGAAGAAGTACACGGTAATCGCAACGAAGGAAGGGTACAACTTCAAGCTCGAGTCCAACGGAGTCTTCAGGTGAGGAGACGAGACGAGGGGAGGGGAGGGGAGAGAAAGGCAGAAGAGGTGTGGATGAGATAAGACGAGAGGCCCGTGTAGTTCGGACAGAAAAAGTCTGGAGGACTGAGACGACGAGCAGGAGCGTGCGGATGGGTGAGGTCAAGGTCAAGGTCGTCGACACGCGGGGTTCACAACTGGCAGGGGTTATGCTGTCTTTGACCGGTGGGACGAACTGACCATGTTTTGACCGGCCAACTCAACTCACTTGCTTGCTGAAGGTGAGAACGAGTACCGCCAGAACAACCGAACTGGCGACGACGGTACCTTCTACTTCGTGGTGGGTGGAGGAGGGAGAGGGGAGGCGCGAGGAAAGGCGAGATTGTGACGTTGTACCCTAACAGGGCCTGCTGCCTGGAAACTACTTCCTCCGTCCCATGCTTAAGGTTGACAACCTCGTGCTCGTCCCGCCTCCCCATACGTGACCACGACTGGCTCTGCAGGAGTATCAGTTCAAACCTGCTTCACAGTCCGTCAAAGTGCAGGAGGGAGAGAATCCAATAGTGCAGGTGGGCATGTCGAGCTGGGAGACGGTCGGGCTGACAGCCACCCCCTTAGGTGCAGGGTGAACGGGTAGCCTTCAGCGCTCTGGGGACCGTTCGCCTGCTCGACGGGATGCACGAGAAGAAGTGAGAGGAGGGTCGCTGACCTGCCGGCTCTGACCGCAAGCACGCAGCGCGGTGGTGAAGGCGGAAGCCATGGATGACAGTCAGGGGTGAGTGGAGCAGGAAGGATGCGATCGAGGGAGGAGGGGAAGGACGAGGGAGTGGGATGGAGGAGGTGATGATGGAACTGTAGGTACGAGGAGACGGTCAGCGATGAGGAAGGAAACTTCAGGCTGCGAGGGCTAAGGCCTGGTGCGCCCGCTGCTGGGTGTGTGGAGGGGATGATGGGAGCACTGCAGGCGTCGAGTACAAGATCTCGATCAAGAATGGAGAGGGGATGCGTCATGAGCGATGCTCGCCCAGCCACGTTGTGATCAAGATGGAGAAGAAGGACGTGTCGGGTGATCTTCTGCCGCTCCCCGCCCCCGCCCCCGCCGCCTTCCTCCTCTCCCTCCCTCCCCTCTCTTGTCTTCTTGCCCCCTCCCCATCTTCCCTCCCTCCCCTCCGCTTCCTCCTCTTCCTCCCTCCCCTTTCTACCAATTTTTTTCCCTCCCCTCTTTCCCTCTGTCCTTGCCTCCATTCATTGATCTGTTCGTCCATTTCTTCTTCCCCCTCCTCGCTGTTGCTGAGACTCACCAAGGACTCGACTTCATCGCCTTCCGTCGACCTGCCAAGCTTGACCTCATGGGCGTCGTGCCAGGAGGTGCTGATGCGAGCGAGTCAGTCGACGGCTGACTTCTCATCAGCGGAAGATTCGCACTTGAAGCAGATCGTGATCGAGCTTGCGCTCGCTTCCAACCCCAACGCCCCCATCAAGTCTTCTCCTCTCCTGGTGACTCGCTCCCCCTCTCCTCGCGCGGTTGACTCTTGGCTCGGGCAGGCGGGGAGATACTTCGAATTCGCGTCGCTGGCAAGAGACTCGTATGTCGTGCGAGCTGTTTCTCAGCTCGACTCGAGAGCGTACAAGGTCCTCGCGCCTTGTTACCTCCTGCCAGTCTGAGCGCTTCAAAGGTTTCTTCTCCTCCTGTCACCGTCGACCTGGATGACTCGACCGGATTGGTGGAGCTCTCCTTTCGAGCTGACCCTAGGTAGGAGGGGGAGGAGGAGCAGGAGGAGGGGTTGAAGAAATGGGTGGAGAAAGGAGGGAGGGAGGGGAGGGGAGGGGAGGCGGGACTCGCAGTAGCATGTCCTGAGGCCCTGGGCAGGAACAGCGGGGAGGGAGTGAAGGCGACATCGTTCTACGTCCTTGTGCTGATCGTGGCTGGGGTGAGTGATAGGGAGGTAGAGGAGATGATGGTGCTGATGTTCGACCAGATCGTGTTGGCTACGAACCGAAAGGAGCTGACAAGCATGTACAACCGAGGAAGCTCCGCCAAGTGAAGCTGATGGCTGAGAGAGGCCCGAGGGTCTCACATGGAGGAGGGGAGGCAGACTGCGGCTCGGCGGTTGCCTACGCGGCAGGCAGCATGGCGATGGAATGCTGGGACGTTGTCTTTCAGCAGCTATCACTTGAAAGCTTTGTATATAAAGCAAGTCTTCTGATGTTGTCGAGCTCTACGTGGAACGAGGGGGAGGAGAGCTCTAGAAGGAGTCCTGAGGACATCCGGGATGGTTGCAGTGGATGGGCGTCTTGACGACAGTCTCGGGCTGTGACATACGGGTCAGATCGGATCAGAGGAGATAATGGTTGCTATCTCTACATCCCCGCCCTCCCATGCTCTCTTCCCCACTCATCACTTGCGATTCTACTGGCCATGTGATGCCAGCATCAACGTCTGTTCTCAACCTAGGTATTCGATCCTCCACAATCCTTGCAAATCTTCACAGCTCTTTCCAGTCCACTCTTGTCCTTTCCTCCTGCCCTCCCCTCCCCTCCCCTCGCCTCCTCTCCCCTCGCCTCCTCTCCTCTCCTCTCCTCTCCCCTCCCCTTCCCTCCCCTCCCTTCCTATCCCCTCCTCTCACCTCCCCTCCCCTCCTCTCCTCTCCTCTCCTCCTACCTTGCCCCAGATATCGTAGTGATGGTCTCGATCCCAGGCTCCCAGGCCTCCTCCAGCGTTGGGGTCGTACATCTGCCATTCCTCCCAGAAGGGCTTAGAGGAGTACACGTAGTATCCGTTGCCGTTGGGGTCCCACACGATCCTGTCCCCCGCCATCTTCGACTGCAGCCGCCGCACCGCTGCGAACATGCCGGCCCTGCTGCTATTTTTGGCGCGACCAGGGCACCCCAACCCCCCAATACTCCGTTGCATTTGGGGGTACTGCACTCCTGGGGTTGTGATGGGCTGACCGGGGCCCGGCCCGGAGCTAAAAGTTTCAGTGACTCAGTGACGACAGGACATAGAGTGACACTCAGTGTTCATCAGTGATTGTCCTCGTACTGATCTTTAACTTAACTTTGAGTGAAAGTGTTCATGAGTCAGGTTTGCACGTTCATTCACTGTTCGTCGATTGTCTATCATAGTATCAAGAACCCTCGGCTTGCATGAGCCCGTTGCTGTCGATGTAGGCGAAGACATCCTCGTAGGAGACTCTCGTGCCGTAGGCATTCCCGGAGGATTGCGTGAGCTTCTTCTCGTCCACTGCGCGGAACAGCTGCCTGCATGCGTGAGATACGTCAGGGCTGCGGGGTCGTGCAGGCTCAGAATCCTTCACCGTTTCAGCAAGGAGAGTTTTGGTCCGGGAACAATCTGAGGGCGGGAAGTCAGATGAGCGCAAGGGAGGCGCGGAGACAGGCCTACCCGATATCGCACACAGATCGCCGTGATGAGGCCTGCCGGCAGCTCTTTGTTCATTTGCAGGTTGTCGTCCTTGAACTTCTCCTTGGCCTGCTTCACGTGCTGCAAGACAGTCAGCTGCGGCCGGGCAAGGCAGGAAGGCCGGAGTCACCTCGGAGAAAATCTCTTCTCGGAGCTTCTCCCATGCGTTGCTCTCTTCGATCTGAAAGGGTTTCAGCTGTCTAGAGCGCATGCAGGCATCAAAGCTCGTCGGGTACCAACACATCCCAGCTCAAGCCGTTCGACCCTGACGACACAACGCTGCTGCCCGATCAGCCCATCTCCTTCTACAAGTCATGCCACTCACCTGGCTGAATGCGAGAGGAAGTTGTCATAGGGAAGCTCTTCAATCTTGTCTCCTGACTTCCTGTCTTTGATGTACGTCTGCGGTGGAAGTTCAATCATCGTCATCCCCATTTGAACCCGTCAACCTTCTTCGTCTTCAACGTCGCAGCAACGTGAGGGTATAAGTGTTCTTCCTTGTACTTTCGACTTGACTGCATTTCCTGCTCAACCGTTTAAACGGCCTTCCAGTCCGTAAGGTATGCAGCTACCTCTTCCGATACTTCCAACTTGTAAGATTCTGTCTTGGCATCCTGCATCGCAGCTTAGCAGGCCCTGGGAGGCATGACGTTGACCCCAACCCAGAAGCTTGCTCCAACGAGGATGAGAGGTTCAGGAGGTGCCAAAGGAACTGACACCAAGAAATGCGACGATAAGGCGATCTCCAAGACCTGGGAAGAGGGTCAGGGCAGGACGAGCGAGAGAGGAACGAACAGGCTCTGGGATCAACCCGTTGAGGATCAACAAGACGATCGAAACCATCTTTCTGATCTGATGCATCGCGAAAGAAACTCCCTTCAACCTGATGACGTAGAAATCCGTCTGCAGCGATCGTCATCCCTCGCCCGAGCTATCTCGTGTTCACCTCCGCCTGATCGATCTCATCCTTGATCCGGATGGGTTGATCATCCACCTCCACGCTGCCTCAGGTCAGCGACCAGGTGACCACGGTCGAGGAAAGATGGTCGAGGGGTGGGAGGGATGTTAGAAGGGATGTAGGAGGGACGGTAGCAGGCATGATAGGAGGAATGGCGGAGGAGAAGGAAAGATGGTAGAAGGGATGATGCGATCAGTACCTGTATATGGTTCGCACGTATTCCTGCCTGTTCATTCTAGTTTCGTCCGTAACAGGCCATTTCCAATCCTGCAAGCAAGGATCTGAGTAAGCATGAAGCACCACAGCATTCGACATGATAGGATCACCCGGCTCGCGAAGGCCTCATGATACTTTGCCCTCAAGCCCTTCCATCGCGTCTCCTTCGCTTCCAACCCCGCAGCATCTGCACTTCTCTTCCTCCCGCCGTCTGAGGAGGGAGCATCCATTAGCCATGTCAGAGCGTGCGGTCGAGTCTTGTACCTCCGTCCGCGTTGTCTTCCTCTCCATTGGATTCCGCCCCGTCCTCTCCACCGCAGCTTTTCTGATTCTTCTCACGAAACAGCGCCCCGCTGAAGTTATGGAACCGATGGGTCCCTTCGAAAGCCTTCAGCAGACGCTTCAGCTCCGAGACCGGTCTTCCATTGAGGACGTTGAAGGGGACCAGATACTCGTACTCCCTCTGTGTGCACATGTTGTTGATCCTGGCGTTCTTAGACAGCCTGAACGCCTGCAGTATTCTGATGTCTCCTGGCAAGAAGGTATTCCACCTCTGTATCTCCGCAGGGCTGACGCGGTACTGCGGAGTCTCATCCATGAGCAGCTTGAAGGAGCAGACGCAGAAGCTCGTGTGGACGCCCTTGTCTGTCCTGCTGGAAGAGCTCCATTTCAGCTTCTGCGAGTCATCCTTGTTGGAGTCGGAAATCATCCCTGCCGTGTAGAACGAGTTGAAGATTTCACCCTGGATGGTGGGGAGGCCTTGGGCAGAGATCTGTAACCCATGGTACTTTGTACCCTTGTAGCCCAGAAGAAGCGCAAGGTTTCTCTTGATCAGCTTCCCTGTAGACGCCTGAGTCATCGAGAGGAGGGCGGAAACCTGGCACAACAGACTTCAAACTTTGTGGAGAAACATCAAGGCCGTCGACACGTTGTCATGAGGCATGTATGCAGAGTTAGCAATTCGACATGACGAGACTTTCAGTGAGACGAGGGATAGGACAAGGAGGAGACTGATGAGACAGGTGGGATCGGGCACAGATAGGTAGAAATAGCGAAGGGAGCGCAGAAGTGGATATATGGTTACGTGCGAGTTTATCGAAAAGTGAGGCAGCGATTGAAAGGAGAAGAGGGGGAAGGGAGAGCAGGAGCAGGAGCAGGAGCAGGAGCAGGAGCAGGAGCAGGAGCAGGAGCAGGAGCAGAGCAGGAGCATCGGGAGCTTGAGTAAAGAAGTGGGAGCGCATGCAGGCGGATTGCATTGTAGCCAGAAAGCTGGCAGACTTCCTCCGAGTGGCACTCCTGGTGGCACTCACACACTGCCACGGCCGTAAGCGGCCCGGCGCCGGGCCCGGCCACTGGCCCGGCCGCCACGCTGGCCGCCACGGCGTCCGCAGTGGCCGGGCCGCCGCTCGAGTACGCATCAGCCACGCGGCCACCCCGGCCCGCGGCAGCCCGGCTGCCTCAGTGCAGCCGCCCCTCTGGCCGCCCGGAGGCTGCCGGGCGGCCCGGGGCGGCCCGTCCGGGCCGCCGCCGGGCGGCCCGGGCCCTGCCCGGCAGCGGCCGGGCCGACGCCGCCCGGCCCGGCCGGGCCCCGCCCGCGATAGCGCAGCCTCGGTGTCAGACTGGGGCCGCGTCAGTGACTGGGCCGTGCGGTGCCAGCTACTGCCAGTTGGTCCGTGACTGCGGGGCAGTGGCCGGGCTCAGCCGGAGGCTGTCACGGTACTCCGGGTAGCTGGCCGCCCGCGGCCGCCGCCGCCGCCGCACGCCGGACCGGCCGTACCCGCGGCGGCGGCCCGGCTGAGCCCGCGGCCCGGCAGCCTACCGTACTACGGTAGGCTGAGACCGGCCGGGGTGCCCAGTGCCACCGGCGGGCCGGGCCGCGGATGGGCGATGCCCATAAAACAATTTTGAAAATTTTATCAACTCCCTAGTTCTAACTAATTTTCAAATTATCTGTAGTGGATATGACACTGGATAAATAAATAACTTTTATAAAAAGTACCATGTTCTAAAATAAATTTTAAAATATCCCCATGATACTTTTAGCTGATTTTTGGTTGGTCCTAGCAAATGCCATAGTGATGCAGAGTGGTACAAAGGAGGTCCTAGGGAGCGTGAAGAACCAGCTGGCGGCGTAATGACGAGACGGGGCGAGAATGGGGCGTGGGGAGCGCATGAGAGGGTAGAGGAGCAGGAGGAGGACGGGTTTCAGGACACAGGGAGAGAGGCAGAGGAGCAGGGAGGCAGATTGGGAGAGAGGAGTGAAGAGGAGGGAGCGTACGGTCGTTGGAGAAGGTGGAGGGAAAGGAATGATCAGGAGGGGTTGAGCTTTGCGAATCCGTACTTGGAGAAGCTGGTGAGGCAGAGGAGGGGTAGCAGGTGTTGGTTTGTAGTGAAGGAGAAGAGACTTCTTTCCCCCGCTCTTTTCTTGCTTTGACGCCCTCGAGCTCTTGAACCAGCGCCTAGTTCTAGAACATGTACGAAAATTGCCCACGGGGACGAGCTATGGCTCGAGGAGACGGATGCCTTAGCCTGCATGCGCATGAAATCCACAAGTCAGGGGTCGATCGCAGTTCATCTTGATCACAGCTCACGTAATATTTGTCTAATGCAGTTTTTTCTCCAGTATATCCCCCTGCCGATGTTCTTCGGACAACAAGCGCTGATGGTTCCTTGGAACTGAAATTATCGGTATTCCTTTGCATTGTTTTGCATCATGACTTTAGCGACTGATCGGATGGTTGCCAAGGGGGGCTCCATGGTCGTCTAGAACAAGAACTTTGGCATTGTAATCATGCCACTGAGGAATGAGATCTTCTACCCTTGTAAGAGCACAGCCTATTCTCAGGAAAGGCGGCTTACAAGGCCGGGAGATACTGGTTGGTTCAAGATCTGGAAGGCAAAGGTGGTCACGAGCGATGCTGTCGAGAGAGAGGTCGTTCTCAAGATCTTCGATCTTGAACAGAACTCAAGAAACAACTCGGACACCTTGTCAGATATCCAGAAAGAGATATCATTGATGAGCTGCTGCAAGCACCGTAACATCGTGAGGCTGCATACTTCCTTCGCGTCCGGGCACGAGCTGTGGATGATCTTGGACTACATGGACAGGGGGTCGTGCGGTGACCAGCTCAAGTTTGAGGAGTTCAAGAACGGCTTTCCGGAATGCATCATCGCCTATGTGATGTCGCAAACGCTGAAGGGGATCAGTTACCTACATCAGCAGTCAATGATCCATCGAGACATCAAGGCTGACAACATCCTGATAGACCAGAAGTTCAGAGTGAAGGTGACGGACTTCTGGAAGTCCTCCAGCCTCGAGCACAAGGGTGCCGACAGCTTCCGCCAGAAGAAGGTCATGACCTTTGTCGGCACGCCGTGTTGGATGGCCCCCGAGGTAATCGAGCAGGAGGGTGGATATGACAACAAGGCGGACATCTGGTCCTTCGGGATTACTCTGATGGAACTTGCCAACGGCAAGACTCCCTACGACAAACAGAAGCCCCTCAAAGTTTTGAAACTCATCATGTGCAACGACCCCCCGCAGCTGGAGGGAAATTTTTCGTCTGAGTTGAAGCAGATTGTCAAGAGCTGCCTGATCAAGGAGCCTCCCAGTGAGAGGCCGTCGGCGGAGGCTTTGCTGAATCATCCCTACTGGAAGCATTCCAAGGCTCCGGAAGGATATACTTTGTTCGATCTGCACCTGAATGCAGACAAGGGCATGGTGGACCTTTCAGAGCAGAAAGTTGAAGAGTGGATGGTGGAAGAATGGGATTTCCCCATTGAAGCTCTTCAGAATCTAGAAAAGTTGAACGATAACGAGCTGAACCGGTACCCAACAAGGTTTCTCAGCTGGACTTTGTGCTCATCGTTTGATGCAGGTCGTGGGATGAGCTCCCGGGATTTTTGTCAGAACAGAACAGGATCATTGAGGAGAAGGAGTTGCGCAACTCCCCTCAGAAAGTTCACATCTGTGAATCGGAAGTCGGGTCGAGAAGTGGCAAGTGGTCAAGGAAGAGCTTGAATGTGAGCCCTTTGCATCCTCACAGCTGCAATGTTTGACTTTTTTTCTTCTCATGACTTCTTTTTTCTTCTCATGGCTTCTTTCTTGTCACAGGGGCGGAGGCCAGGAGGCAGAGAGCCCTTGCACGCTGTATTTCAAGACATTGACGGCCCCTGCTTGTCCAGCCCGCCCGGCCTTGCCTCCCCTGTCGGCTCTCACCGCAGCCCCAGCGTGAAGACGCTCGGGGATTTTTTTGACGCGGAGTATGTCAGAAACAATACAAAGCATGGCCCCGGCGATGAGGCCGCCGCCATGTTGGAGAGCACGAACCCGAGCAAGGACCCAAGGAGCGAGGACAGCAAGGTCGAGCTGCGGTCGGATGCTCACCTGAAGGAGACGCCGGTGCAGTGCAACCCTTCCCCGAACAAGGGGCCGAACTCCAACGATGACGTGTGGAGCGAGCTGGAGAAGGTCGCTTCCTCCTCCGCCTCCTAGGGTCTCGTGACTTTGCCTTGGCTCCCAGATGCTGTCTGAACCCTCGACTGTCTCTCCTCATGGCAGCCCCATCAAGGGATTGAGCCCCCCGGGCAGCCCCAAGTCAAAACGTGCGCAGGGCGCGCCCAAGGTAGACTTGACGACCGTGCTGCCTGAAGGTGAAGCTTGTCTTGTCCTGGCCGAGTGGGCTGACCGGGCTGACGTTCTTGTGCAGCAGATGGTGCAGACTCCAAGGACGGAGGAGCTTCCGGCGCCGCAGCCTCGTTGAGTGAGGAGGTGAAGGAACGGACGCGGAATGCTGGGCAGGAAACCGCGGACTGCATGGGGAACCCGTCGACCTCCGCCAAGACTGGTGATGATTGAGGATAACAGTGCTTGCATGATGGAGGAGGATTAAGATATTGTTCCTCTCCCTCTTCCTGCTCCTGCTCCTGCTCCTGCTCCCGCTCCTGCTCCTGCTCCTCATCTGAACTGTTTTGATAGGCTCTCATGAAGTTCTTGTTGACTCAAAATCAAGAAGCATCAGCCCGGCGTCTTCCAGCGACGCCTCGGAGTTTTCCAGCCAGAAGGTGGAGGCAGGCAAGTCAGGCAGCGCGTCAACGTCGGAGGCCGGGGAGAAGAAGAATGCCAAGAAGAAGTTCAATATCACCTCCACGGACTTGGACTTGACAAGCAGCCAGTCTGCTGGGGCCCACACCAGCCTTCCCTCTCCTCTCACCGGCCCGACCGGCAACCCGCTGCCTGTGACCTTGACTTCCGATGACTCGACCTGTTCGCCTGACCCCTCTCGTCTCCAGACAACCTCAGCCGTTCAGACTCCTCACGCTTCCTCGGCAAGGTGAACCTCCTTCTGCTCCTCCCCGCCCCCCGCCCCCCACCCCTCTGCTCCCCCTTCCAGCGTTCCGTCTCCCTGATCTCGTCCCCCTCACAGCAACACGCCGCTTCTGGAGCCGCTGGCTTCTGCTCCTGTCCCAGCCTTCCCGGGGAAGAACCCTCCCATCATCAACGGTCAACCCCCGCAGAAGTCGGCAGGTCTGGTGTCGAGCTCCGCATTGACCTGCCGTTGACTCCTGCGCCGCAGACGGCCCTGCCCTGGTCCACACCAACTCGCACAAGGCCAAGAAGGCGTTCAAGATCGAGGATGCGCCTCCCCCTTCTCAGGGAGACGTCGACGGGCACGTGCAGAGAGTCGCCACTCGATCCTCGAGCATCTCGTCGAGTGAATGCTCGTCTCGCAGATCCTTCGAGTACAACCGGGAGAACCTCGACATGCTGCACGAGCCTGGGATGCGATGGTCCTTCGACATTCGGAGGGACAAGCAGGACAAGGACAGGAAGTTTGAGCTGGGAGAGGAGATGCAGCTGGAAGCCATGGACATGAAGGAGCTCTGCTTGTAAGTCTTGCGATGCCCTTGCTCTCAGCTGAACCTGAGCTGAACCTCTGCTCAGGCTCGTGAGAGATCTGCAGAAGCAAGTTGTCAAGTTGAAGGAGGAGACCGTGAGAATCTGAAACTCCCTCCTCCTCCCCGCTGACTGCCGTTGGCAGAACATTTTGAGGACGGAGAATGAGAAACTTCGGTCGGTGAACTCCAAGACGAAAGAGGGTTGATGTTGTTGATAAAAGTCTTTTGACAAGCTCCCTGTCAGCCTCAGAGGGAGAAACACCTTGCCCAATCTCCCCAGTGACTCTTTGTGATAGGCAGCAGCAGGGCAGTGGCTAATCTTGCAGGGAAGGTCGTGGGTGAATTTCGAGTATCTTGACCAGACGAGATTGAGGGAAAATGCACTGCGAGGGAGGGAGAGAGGAAGAAAGAGAGGAGGGGGGGGTGGGAGGGAGGGGTGTTGCGGAGGAGAAGGATGCGAGGGAGATATTTCGGGAGAGGGAGGGGTGAGTGATAAAGTTCGAGCTTCGATTAGTCGCGACCAGGCACGCACTTGTCGAAGTCAAGATCCAGCAACAGCTGCGTGCAGACAGTCAGGTAGGTGATATGCAAGAGATCTGCAGAAGGTCCGGATGAGGAGGACGAGGTGGCTGCTGGGAACACGCAGGAGCAGGATGAGGCGATGACGTCAGCACCGCCTCCCCTCACCTGCATCTGGCTGATGACGTCTGGTCTATCCATCTCGCATTCCCCCGGCCTGACCGTCTCCTCGTCCTCTGCCGCCCCCAAGACTCTCCTGCCATCAGCTCTCAGAGGCAGCGCAAGTTCCCTCCTCCTCCTCTCACCGCAAATTCCGTATCCTCCACAGGCAGCACTTGCGAAGACCTGGTCGGCAACATCACCCGCTCCTTCTGTGCTGCTCGACAAGGGCTTGCTCTTGCCTCTCAAGCTCAACTTGATCCCCTCACATGACTGGAGCATCAGGCAGCAGCCGAACCCTGACTCCCTTGCCCTGTTCACGGCCAGTGTCACGAGCGGGAGAGGAGGTGGCAGACGTACCGGTACGTCTGGTAGTGCGAGAACCCGTCCTCCAGGGAGGGCAGCACGCATATACAGGCAAGCTTCTTCCTGCCACAGAACTTGCACGTCGTGTACATCTGCTTCTGTCCTGATCTGTGCGTCTTCAACCCTTATAGAGGAGGTCAGGGGAAGGAAGGGAAGAACAAGACGGGAAAAGATGGAAACTGAAGATGGAAGTGGAAAAGGCAGGGAAGGGATGGAGAGAAAGAATGACGACAAAGTCAAGAACTTGATGTTCAAGGAGTTCATGACTGAAGTTCAAAACCTTTCTCGATCTTGAAGCTGTTGATGTTGACTTCCTTCCCTACCAACCACCTCGGCAGAGCCCTCTTTCGTACAGCAGGGTAAGATGGAATCCGAGAAGCAAACATGCCTGTCTACCTTCTTCAGCAGCATGTAGAACTCATGTGTAGTCAGGTCTTCGGATGCAATGTAGAGGTGGAAAAGGTTGAAAAAGAAGAGCGTTATCGCTATCCATGCTGTCACAGCCAGGACGACGTAGTTCATGGCATCGAACATGGTCTGACAATGATCCTCTTGGAAGAACAGGAAGTTCAAGCCAAACTCATCTCTCTTACAGATAGACACTGATCTCTCACGAATGATGAAAGATACACAGACGATGATAGTGTCCTGCAGTCATGTTATAAAGCGTTCTCATTTCCCAGGGGGGGTTACGATCTGGCACACGTTGAGTAGAAAGCAGAAGAGCATGAAGGTAGGATGGTTCTTGATACCAACACACTTGCCTATGGCGTCACAATGGTGGTCTAGCCGGTGAACGCACCTGCCGCTTGTATCTCAGATCCTCTCTTCTCCCTAACGGGTTCTTGCCTTCCGCATCTCTTGCAGTGCCTTGCTCGCCTCGGCTTGGGCTGCTCACAAAGTTCACAGTAACGAGGGTCAGAGCGATGCTCCTCGGATACTCCGTTGAAGCCTGAGTCAACAATCTCATCTTCTTCCGCTCCATTCCCATCCTCCTCCTCCTCCTCGCTCCCTGACACGTAGCCGGGATCTCCAATGCACAGCCTGCCGTACAGGCAAGAGACGAAGAAGCTGCCGCAGAGGAACCGCACGAGGGAGGAGAGGAAGCGGTCGGAGAGGAGCAGGACCGACGTGTAGAGCCCGAACGACACGCAGGTCACCATGACCGCCACCTGCACCCTACCGATCGCCATCGCACCCCATGCAAAGTTTGACTACCTGTCAAAGATATTTAGTTAGCTAACTAAATTAGCTGAGCTGTATAAATGAATTAGCTCACGATATTAGGTTTTTTTTTATCGTGTGACCAACCCCCCATGATACCCGTGACTGGTATTACATCAGGGGTACTTTCAAGTATCAAAATGTGGGTAGGGGTACTGAGATCATGCTTTTGTAACGCAACTAAGGGTAGGGTTATGTACCCCTACCTACCATTTTATCTATGTTTCGTACGGGTGATAAAATGCTCTAAAGATTGTCACGTCCCCAACAACCTTCGTTGCCTTGCACATTGTTGCCTACCCCTACCCCCTCGGTCGGGAAATCCTCTGACTACCCTCCCTAAAGACTCTTTATGGCATGAAATTCCACAGGTGGGGTGGAGTGGGATTGAGGCGAAGGAGGGGTGGTGCTGTGTTTGTACGTCTATATGGTGGCAGGGAAGCAAGTTGGGGTGAAGAGCAGAGAAAGGAAGGAGGAAAGGAGAGAGAGAGGAAGCGAACGAAGAAAGGAAGTCGATCTCAGAGTCGGTGACAGACAAGCAGAGAGAAGGAGGGTAGACATCAACAAAGCCACTTAGCCTTGCAGACCTTCAGGCTTGCAAGGACAGGAACCCTTGAAAGCTTGTTTGCATCTTTTGCAAAGATGCAAGCACAGAACATGAACCTACCTGTATTACATGGCGAAGTCCAGGAGTATCAAAAGGACGAGGTAGAAGACGCCGAGAAGTTTTACAGCGCAAGATTCTCCAGGAACTTCCTCGTAGCGTTCGGGTTTTTACAATCGGTCAGCTGCAGTGGGATCATCATCGGATACACAGCGATCTCAGACGCGCTCAAGTCGATCGGGGAGTACTCAGACCTGTGTAGCAGTGGCGTCACCGGCTGCTCCTCCCAGGCGCTGAGATTTAGCTTGTTCTACATCATCGGCTCCTCCTGCCTGTTCGGTTCTTTCATCATCAATGGGAGCATCCTCGACAACTTCGGCCCCAAGTTCTCGACCTGCCTCGGGCTGCTCGTCAGCGGGACAGGTTTCGTCCTCCTGGCAGTGAGCCAGTCCAACGGGTTTGACGCGTTCGCGCCTGCCTTCGGCATGATCGGGGCCGGGGGGCCGGGCGTGCACCTGTCGCTGTTCCACATCTCCACCCTGTACGAGCCGAGGGTGAGGGGGACTATCAAGAGCTACTTCCTAGGGGCCTTCGTTGCCAGCGCCTTCCTCTTCTCGCTGGAGGGCTGGCTGATACAGACGGAGCACGTCAGCAAGGAGGCCATCTTCCTGGTACATGGGTGCTGGCTGTACCTGCTCTGCATCCTGGGGCTGGTCATCTGGCCCTGGAAGATCTTCAAGGTCGGCAACGAGGTGAGGATGTACAAGAGAAGGATCGTCGACTACGTCATCCTCGACAAGAGCCAGCAGCCTGCAAGCTCGTCCCGCTCCCTCGTTGCCCCCTCTGCAGCGTCTGACATGGCGAGCACGCCGGAGTTCTCCACCATGAACGTGCTGAACCAGAATGGCCAGCCCATCACGATCCTCGTCAAGTTGGACCGCACGGAGCAGCCAGCTGAAACTGGCAGCACGCACTCGCAGCTCCCTGCGGAGTCGATGAAGCTGGAGAGCCAGAGCTCAACAGCCCTGGTGCCGGGGAAAGCGGAGGAGGAGGAGGAGCGGGAGGTGCCGATGTCGGAGTTGCCGTTGAAGCAGCAGCTCATGACTTGGACGTACCGCAAGCTGCTGCTGTTCTGCTGCATCCAGGTGATGCGGTTCAACTACTACATCGGCACTTTCATTCAGCAGATCGAGTACAAGCCCACCAACAGGGACGGTCATCTCACCACAACCTATTCTCTCATCCTTACCCTCGTCGTTCCCTCCGGCATCATCACTATCCCTCTGGTCGGAAGGATCTTCGACACGTGGGACTACTACTGGATCTTCGTCCTCTGCAACTTCCTGGGCATGGTGTACGGTGAGTGCGATGAGGTTGAGGTGGTGTTTGCGAGTTGTGTTTCGGAGAATGACGATGATGGTGGTGGTGGTTTGTACTGATGATGATGATAATGACGATGACGATGACAATAATGATCACATGGGTTGAGTTCCTCGTGGTTCATCAACTCAGTGCTCCCTCCCTCCCTCCGTCCTCCTCACTGACTGGAACCTCCACAGGTGCTCTCTTGCTTGTGCCCGTCCTGGAGGTGCAGATAGTGACTATCGTCTTCCTGTGCCTGCACAGGATGATCCTGTTCTCCATCCTTCTCTCCTACACCTCCTACACCTTCGGCTTCAAGAACTTCGGCTTCATCCTCGGCCTCCTCCAGCTCATCGCCTCCGCCCTCTCCGTCATCGTCTACCCCATCATCAGCGCCGTCGAGTCTCACCTCGACGGCAACTTCTTCTGGGTGAACCTCGCCTTCCTAGCCGCCATGATGCCGCTGTGGGTAATCTGTCCTGCCAAGTTTCCCAAGAAGTAGGCAAGAGGAGGAAAGAGAGGAGGGGAGGATGAAGGGAGGAAGGGAGAGGAGGCAGTTTGTACATAAGCAATTTATCAGGTCTTGTTGAAATGTTGTAGCGCTATGAGTTGATAGGGAATTCCAGTAAAGATGTTCTTGAAAGAAATGTTGAGAAGTGAGGGGATCAAGAGGAGGACATTCGATGGAAATGAAGGAGAACCAAATAAAAAGTGAGGGCGGGAAGGAGGAACTAGGACATTGACAACGATGTTTCGTCGAAGTTGGGCATTGCTGTATTGATCAAACGTTGTATCTCGACGATCGCAATTTTGTCTGCATCCTTCGGATTTGTATGAACATGTCGCATGAGAAGAAGATCTGTAATGCAATCTCAACATACACATCCTCTCTCCCTCTTCCTCCTCTCTCCCTCTTCCTCCTCCCTCCAACCTCCTCTCTCCTACCACCACCACCACCACCACTTCCTCCTCCTCGTCCTCCTCCTCCTCTGCCTCTTCCTCCTCTCCCCTCACCTCCACCAGCAGCAAGTTACACACGAAGATGTGCAGCAAAGAAACGCCGTCCTCTCTCCCGTCACCAGACAGCGCTAGTGGTTCGTTAGCACCAGCAACGAAAGGAGAAGGTCAAGGAGGAGGAGATAGGTGGGGGGCGAGGAGGAGGAGGAGGAGGAAGGAAGGAGGAAGGAAGGAAGAACAGATGACCAACCAACTGTCGGCTCCTTGCTCGAGAGTTCTAACCGCCATACTGCATAAGGGCAGCAGAAGGCAATCTAAATGAACAAGTGAACAAGCCCAGCATCCCTGCTCCCGCTGCTCCTCCCGCTTTCGCTCTCTCCTCGCTTCTCCTCCTCCTCCCTCCTCTCCCTCTAAGCAGGCTTCTCACCCACACTGCCAGCACGAACGCAGAGATCTGAACCACAGCCAGCATGCCCGTACACGTCATCTACCACAAGGTCAGCCGGAAGGAGGAAGGAGGAGGAAGGGGAAGCAGGAATGGAGGAGGGAGGAGGGAGGAGGGAGGAGGGAGGAGGGAGGAGAACAGGTGGACCTGTCTCTCCCTACGAGCCTCCTCGGCGTTCCTCTCATAGATCTAGATGGTCAGGTGAGTGAAACAACAAGGGACATGAGAAGAGAGAACAGAGAAAGACCGGGAGAGGAGGAGGGAGAGGGGAGAGAAGGAGGAGGAGGGCAAGAGGAGGAGGAGGAGGAGGGCAAGAGGAGGAGGAGGAGGAGGGCAAGAGGAGGAGGAGGAGGGCAAGAGGAGGAGGAGGAGGGCAAGAGGAGGAGGAGGAGGGGAGAGATGGTTGAGAGGAGAAGAGGAGGAGGACGGGGAGAGAAGGAGGAGGACGAGGGAATGGACCGGCGAATCGACGCAGCGCGTATAGACGCAGGACAGGAATCCGGTGATAACAACGACATAAACCTGATAGGGGTGAGGAATCAAGGATGAGGGATGAGGAGAGGAGTGAGGGATGAGGAGAGGAGGAGAGGAGGAGGAGGAGGAGGAGCGTACGAAGATGAGGGTGAGTTGCAGGGCCTCCTCCCGATTGATAGAGATGCTGTCAAAGTCTCTCTCTGCACTCCCCCGTCGCTCCTTGAACGTGTTCGTGGACCTGCGGCAGCCTTATGAGCGGGAGCAGGAGGAGGAGTTCCGGGAGAGGAGCAGACAAGGGGCAAGGGCAAGAGTATGGGAGGAGGAGGACGAGGAGGAGGAGAAGGAGCAGCAGCAGACCTGAAGGGTCCGCGGCAAGCTTCACTCTGCCACTCTCGATCGAAGATGGCCTTACGCTTGTTGGGGCTGGAAGTCACCAGGGTGAGGGGAGGAGACTCGAGGGGGAGAAGAGAGAGATGAGGCTGGTGAACGAGCGCGACGAGGGAAAAAAGATGTCGGTGTGGTGAGTTTGAGGAAGAAGTCACATGTGAGATTGCAATAAACATCACTTGTGAGATAAAGAGGATACATGTCAGGTTGATGTTAAGTTTACATCTTAGGTACATGTATGTGTGCTCATCCTCTCTTCCTCTCACCTCATCCAGGTGCTTCCAAAGTCCGGCATCCACCATCGTCTTGCCTTGGTGCTGATGGAAGTTCAGCAGCATACAGCAACAAGGGAGCATGACGAAGGCAATAAGATCAAACGTCTGCTACACAACAACTTTGATCCTGCTGCTGCTGCTGCTGCTGTTCTCCCTCCCCCCTTCCCCCTCACTCTGTTTGTCTTCTTTCTCTCACCTGTACACATTCACGAGCATCTCGGACTCGCGACCACACATGTTGGAGGACATCTCCTCGTTCTTGGTCTGCATCATCAAAGTCGCTCAATCTTCAACATCCCCTCCACCTCCCTTCCACTTCCCTCCCTTCCTCCTCCCTCCCTTCCTCTCTCCATCTCTCTCTATCCCTCCCCTCCTTTCCTCCTCTTCCAATCACCTCCACGCGCTTCTGCATCCTCTTGATTTCTTCGTCCGCGTTGCAAGAGATAAATTCCTACCAAACTCCTGTGAGTCGACGGGCTACTTGACCTCAACAACCACCTCTGCCTCCTTGCAGATCTCGATGGCTTCAGCTGCGCACTTGTCGATCAGCTCGGTTTCCGTGGGGAACTGAGACGACCCAAGTGAGAGGTAGGCGATGCGAGGAGGAGGGGGGGGACGAGGAGGAGGAAGAGGAGGGGAGGGGGGACGAGGAGGAGGAAGAGGAGGAAGAGGAGGAAGAGGACGAGGGGGAGGGTGGGTGAGGGAGGGGGAGGAAGGGGGACAGGGAGGGAGGGAGGGGAGGGGAGGAGGGAGGGGGGCAGGAGGAAGGCAACGAGGAAAGCGGTTCTGACCCGCAGCTTTCTCAGGCATTGAAGGAAAAGTTTGACAGCCTGCGCGCACGAGGAGGCGGGCCCGACGTCAGCGACTTGCAACGAGACGAGATGGCCGGGAATGCCTTGCGGCTCGTGCGGTAGGATCGGATCCTCCTGGCGACCTTCCTGTTGGCCTCCGCAGTCAACAGTTCCTGTCAAACCAGTCAGCGGGGTCGTGCGGAGAGCTAGGGAGGTAGGAGGAGGACCAGGGTCTGCGGTAGGAACACGTTGGTCTGGTTGTTGAGGATGTTGCCGACGGACTGATGGGCCTCTTCTGCACATTCCCTGATAGCCTCCTCCTTCTCGACTGTCGGCAAGTTCACGTCATGGAGACTCGGGCTGGGCAGCTCTGGCTGACCGTTGGACAAGTTGATCGTCTCCGAGTGCAGGTTCTCTAGGATCTGGGAGGATCGTGCTCGTCAACAGACGGGAGGACCAGGAAGGAGCGAGCGGAGGGGGTCAGAAGGGGAAGGGAGGGGAGGGGAGGGGAGGGAGGGGAGGGAGGGGAGGGAGGGGAG